AATGTCTAGTGTGGCTAAATTGATTATCCAAAAATTTTATTTCATAAAAATAAATTAATATAAAATAATTTTAAAAAAGTGTTGTTGACATACGAACTGAAAACCTCCCTAATCGCTAGACGTGGCGAAGATTAAACGGTCGCCTCTCCTGAAAGCGGGACAAACGAATTGCTCACCCGACCATGAATCAAATCGAAAAATGACTTAGGACCAAACAAAGGGTCCGACCCCCTTGTCTAAAAGTTGACCCATGACCGTAGGAGAAACCAACAAATGAAAGGACAACAACTCGGTATAAGTCAAAGTTCAGACAAAGTAACTGACCTTTTCACCTTGTAATGGACCCATGATTAGAAAACGAAAGCCTTGTGACATATAGCGGAGGGCTCGGCTATCCCACCTCAGAGGACCTGACCATAATCCTTTGAAGGTCGGCCTCTGTAAACACATTTTATGTGGACGTGACATATGTCTACCGTACTGAAGATAAACAATCATCACGTGTGGGACCTACCTTTAGGAGCCGCACGTCGCCATCAAATCACATTAAATGATAACGTGCGAGTATCGAGAACCACACCCGTGAGTCTCATAGTATAAATACCCTTCATTTATTGTAAAACGGTTGATTCGAGCATTCGCTCTCTAAGATACTCTACTAAGAAATCGAGTTGTTTACAATATAAAATACATGTCATCCGACTTTGTTCATTATATAATATATTTTCGCTTAAGGAATTTTCCCAATCCATTGCTACTTATTTGAGTATCTATATATATACATATATATATATATATATATGGTTTAATTATTTTTAAAATATTAGTTGTTTCTCGCTAAGAAAACCCTAATTACTAATTCTGGAAATATATTAGCCGTAATTTCTATATTTAATGCTTATATTTTTTGGAACTTTTAATTTAATATGGAACAGATTTCGTAGCCGCAATTTCCATATTTAATGCTTATGATTTTTTGGAACTTTTTAATTAATATGAAAATAGATTTCTGTTTTAATTTAAGATAATTCCTTAGCAAAACAAATTAGCAAAAATTTGAATTTGAATATATTAAGATTCTGATATATAGAAATATTGAATTATTATGGAATCAGATTTCGGTCTTGATTTTATAAAAAAAATTAAGTTAATTTTTGAATTAAAAATATTAGCATTCAGTTTATCTAAAAATTCCTTTTTCAGTTTGAATATTGAATAGTTTGTGTGCTCTTTTTGGAATATTGAATTCACAATTAAAAATTAAATCGATGGTAATATCTACAAAAGAGAATAAATTATTATGTTTAATATAATTCACTATTCAATCTTTCAGATTATGCCTGTTGGAGTACCTAAAGTACCGTTTTTACTTTCAATTCCAACGAAAAAAACTAGGAAAACTCCAACGATAACTCCAATTCCTTCTGAGTATGAGGAAGACGAAGACGAAGACGAAGACGAAGACGAAGACAAAGACCAAGAAGACGAAGACAAAGACCAAAAAGACAAAGACAAAAAGGAAAAGAAAAAGAAACGTCCTTTTTTCTTCCTGCAAAGGAAAAAGAAACCATTCGTACTCATAACTCAAGTTAGATAACTTTTCAAATAGTTCAAAGAAAAAATTTTGAGTCAATTTTCTTTATTGAGTAGGCTTTACCCATCAGTTACTTGCATCGGGTTGTGTACTCATTTGAAATATGCATGTTTTATAGGATACTACACCATTTAAATTTCATATAGTATCTTTGATAAATTATTATAGGTAAATTGTATTGCATATTGATTTCATATTTTTAGTTTATAAATATTATTTAATAAAATTTTAATTTATAAATATTAATGAATATCTCTTACCCGTGCATCGCACGGGATTCGTAGTTGATGCTTGTTTATGAAACCAATCCAAAAAAATCCAATCATTTTGAATTCAACCACTTTTGTTTAACTCACTTTAACTCAACTCACTATCATCAATATAATTAAATAATATCAATCAATCAACCCACTATCATCAATATTATCAATATAATTAAATAATATCAATCAATCATTCTTATACACAACATCAACCTTAATTTATTATTCATCTACTCACATAATTTTAACTAACCATCACATCGCATCTTCTCTCTCCTACTTTTACATCAATTTAATTTTAATCATTTTATTTTAAAAATTATTTTAATATACCCACTAACAATTAATCATACCAAATTTTTTCAAATTTAACCAACTCAAATAAAAAACTCAATCAAAACCAAAAAAAATTTATAAACATCGTACTAGTTTCGTTTAACAAGAAGTCTGTCTTACAAAAGTTCATCTAATAATAAGAAACTTAATTTTACAAAAAGTGTTTTCATTTTTTTTTTTTTTTTTTTTTTGTTCGGTACAACAAAAAGTGTTTTCATTAAGTATTGAGGTTTTGTTGAACAGAGTATGTTGTATTGGTTAAAGAAATACTAGTACAGAGAGCCCGTGCAATGCACGAGGTGCATAATTTTATGGTCATTTATCTATTCTTATAATTATATAAATGAATAAAAAAAATATACGGGATATATATAGTACGTGATCTGTAATAGGCCAAAATGTAAACACGAGTGATGCACGGGGTGCACAATTTTAAGGTCATTTATTAGTACAGAGCCCGTGCGATGCACATGGTGCACAATTTTCTAGTATGTGTAATAAAAATACATACCGTATGCACGGGACAGAAGCACTAAATGAGTCATTTTCACAAAGCTTGCCCGTTAAGTAGCTCATGAACACGGGTGCACAATTTGTAGTACGTACCATAAAATCAAAACAACTTTCCATACAATTAGATAATAAACTATATAATAAATAAAGCCTTTTTATTTTAGTAAAGATTTTACGTACTTTGTTTTTTTACTTATCAGATGTTGTGGGATTTATTTTTGTTAAACCAATTTTATGGAATATAATACAAATACAATTAGAGAATTGAACAAAATCAAAACAGATTTTCATACAATTAGATAATAAAAAATAATTAGATAAGAAAAAAAAGGAATTAGATAATAAATTTTGAATCTGACTTTTTTTTTTGGGATAGATAGACTTTACGTACAAATTTTGACTTCACTGATTTTATGTGATTTATTTTGACAAAATTGATGTTAATATGAAATAAGACAAATAAATAAAGTCTTTTTATTTTAGTAAAGATTTTACGTTTTTTTTACCTGTCATATGTTATGGGATTTTTTTTTCTTAAACTGATTTTATGGGATATAAGACAAATAAATAAAATAATTAAATAAAATTATGGATAGAAATAGCAATGCATTAATTACGTTGACTTTTCAATCTACTAAATTTGGTAAATAGGATACTTTATATAATAAGTATAGATACAAATAAATAACATGCCAAAATTTTAAAGAATAATTAATATATTTTAATTTATTATCTAGCCATCAATAATATCATTTAATGATGTGATCATTATCTCTTAAATGATAAATAAAATATTAATCTAAAAAAAATATTTGTTTTTTATATACTCAAATAAAAATTAAAAAATACTATCGACAAATATGAATTATAATATATATCAGTAAAATCATTGCAAAAGTTAATAAAATTATTTAAAGAAAGAATCATTTTGATCATATTTGAATAGGAAATGTATATATGCAAGCAATTAATGCATATAGTAAAAAAATTCTAAATAAAATATGCATTAAATGTGAGTTGACTTTTTTTGCTACTAATTTTGGTAAATAGTATGGCTTTTAATATAAGTATAGATATCTCTCTAATTGCTCAAACTACCTAATAGTAACCACAAACTTGTACAAAAATGGTATACTTCAATTGGTTATAAAAATAAATAATCTTTGTTTGTTCAACCAAAATATATATTATTGATAAATTAACAAATCCAAACAAAAAATACTATTTTTTTTTTTTTTTGTTTTTCCCTCTCTCTACAATTTTACTAATACAACTTAAAATAAAAAAATTTCTTCTTATTATATATTTTCCAACAAAAAAAACATTTCACACATATATTTCTAACTACCAATCTAATCCACCAATATTTTTCATTTATCTTATATCAATTTATTAGAATATCAAATTCATCACATTATTTTATAAATAAAAATTTACTTATTGTTAAAGCATACAGTAACGTTTTATAAAAGCGTGTGGATATTGTTCCTGGTCAGTAGGCGTCAGCTGTGAATTTGCCGGCGGGCGGTGAGCGGCGGTGGACGGTGGAATCATGATGGAAATTAAAATTGTGGGCGTGGTCGGGTGCGGCCAGATGGGCTCCGGAATCGCGCAGCTCGCCGCCGTGAACGGCCTTGAGATCTGGCTTCACGACTCCGACTCGGCGGCTCTGTCTAAAGCCCATAAATCAATCTCTTCAAGAATCCAGAGCATGATCTCCAAAGGACAACTCGACAAGGTGTATTTCGTGTATAGCCACTGATTATGGACCAGATGATTTCCGATTACGCTTTTCCTCTATTTTTTTTTTTGGATGAATAATTTTATCTCGCTCTAGGGTTCTTAGCAGTTAAAATTAAGATTGAATTTTTTAATTATCCCAATTTGATAAAGTTCCTTGTCGAATTTAGTTTCAAAGTTTCAATTTCTTATTGTTTTAAGGATTCCAAAAATATTCGAAGCAGCTGCTTTTTAAGTTATGGTTGAATTTATTGAACAAAATCCATCTTCAGAACTTCTTGATTGCCTTTATAGTTTCATGCTTTCATTGTTGTTCTCAAAATTTTAAGGGTTTGGAGAAATGTTTGTATTTTACTCCATTTTTCCTACAGGGCAAAGGCGCTGAAGCTCTAAGGAATTTGAACTTTACTGCAAATTTGGAAGATTTTAGGTCTGTGGACATTGTAATTGAGGCAATTGTGGAGTCCGAGGAGGTTAAAAGAGAGCTGTTTGCTCGATTAGATAAGGTGGTAAAAAGTTCTGCAATCTTGGCATCCAATACAAGTTCAATCCCGATAACACGTTTAGGCTCTGCAACTAGCCGGCCGGCCCAGGTTCACTCTCGCTACTTGATATTGTCTCCTGTTTTTACAACATTCGTGCAGTTTTGGTTGATTGTACTGCAAAAGATGCCTAATTTATATGTTAGAATGGAGTTCAGAAGTAGTGTTGAAGGAAGAGTTATAAAGGGAAGAACAAGATGTACTTTTGTTATGGATTTTCTTTTTTCAATCAAACAAATATTTAAATTGAAAGAAGTGTGAATTTCGGTAGTAGGATCGGATATGAGATGGAGATGTAATAATGGGAGCTGGTTTGACATAAAAATAGTGTAGCAATGGTTATGTTGAGAAGCACTTGTGTGGATGGGTTGAATTTATATTGAAATGTGTAATAATGGTTTATACATGCCGCTGTCAAATTAAGTTCGTTTATATTTCGTAAGTTATTGCAAGTTTGATAGAGTGAAGAGATTTGGTAACTGGCTGTTAATTAGCTGCCTGAGCTAAAACAAGATTACTGCATGACATTTTGATATTTCCACTTTGGAGTACAAAGAATGAAGGCTCTCAGTTTAAAATGCTTATAAATGATATTTACAGCACCGGAAGAACAATTTTCATGTAAGCTGATGGCTCAATTCAGAAAAAAACTTGTTAAAATTCTCACGGTCCTGCAGAAGGGCCATATGTACAAGAATTGGCATTTTATCGTACAAGGAAAAAGTAAAACTCTTCCTTTACATCTTTTAGGAATATATTATTCGGAATCCTGCTATCTTGAATACTAGTGATGCTGTGAGTAGAAGGTTTTCGAATTTGTGACCACTAATTGAGGTTTTACATTCTAGGTCAGACTACTATTCTTGGTTAGTCGATCGATATTGTTGATCACGATTCATTAGCTTTTAGTTCTGAATTAACCGTTTATGTTAGGCTTGTGATTAATTATACTTATCCAATTTGAAATTTTGTCTTTGATTTCAAACTCTGGAGCCATATCCAATGTCCTGTTTTCATCCCTTTTCCTTTTTCCAACTCGCGTGATTTCCATTATATTGTCTGCAGGTGATAGGAATGCATTTCATGAATCCTCCACCAGTAATGAAACTGGTTGAGATTATCCGAGGTGTTAACACATCGGATGATACATTTAATGCCACAAAATTATTGGCAGAGAGGTAAACAGATCTTTAATTAATAATAAAAAAAAAAGAGAGAGAGTTACTTTTTGCTGTTATTAGTATTGTTTCTTTTTATTTAGTGCCAATCAGATATCTTAAAACTTGAACTAGGAGATTGTTGTTCTTCATTTCTGTCGGACACATTCTGTTTTATTGATTTATCACTTAGGTCTTTATAATAAAACATTCTTACCCCATTTTTTTCTCTTGGTAATAATTAGGCGGCAAATGCATTTTTAGTCCGGTTTTACGCCATAGCAATTTTAGTCCAAAGGTTCCAACATTTCGCCTTTTGGTCCTGCGATTTAATATTTTGCTGCAATTTCAGTCTTCAATTCAAATGATTGAAATTGCGACAAATTCCCAATTTTCAGATTTTTTATTAGCAATTTAAGTCCTGCAATTTAAAACTTTGTTGCAATTTCAGTCATCAAGTCCTGAAATTGCAGCAAAATATTAAATCACTAACCAAAAAGCGAAAAGTTGGAATCTTGGGACTAAAAGGCCAAAAGAACTTTCTTAACTACCCGTAGTTAATTATCAAATGAAGGTTGGGCAAGAAGATTGTTTGCTCTCATGACTTCCCGGGCTTCATCGTGAATCGTATCTTAATGCCGATGATAAACGAGGCATTCCATGCTCTCTACACAGGGGTGGCCACAAAGGAAGACATAGATGCCGGAATGAAATTTGGGACCAACCACCCAATGGGTCCACTTGAACTTGCAGATCATATTGGGCTCGACGTGTGCCTGTCCATCATGAGAGTCCTTCACACGGGCCTTGGGGACAGTAAGTATGCTCCATGCCCGTTGCTCGTGCAGTACGTGGACGCGGGCCGGCTTGGTAGGAAAAAAGGTTTTGGTGTGTACAATTACAGTAAAATGTGAAAAAATAACAAGAAATAAAAATGAAGCCATCAGCTCGACTTTGAACTGTGTCATGGTTGGGACGAATGGGAATCTCGTTACAGTGAACAAAAATTTCAACTCTTGGTAGAAAATGTGTCATCTGATGTGTTTGGACAAGGAGTTGTATGTTATAAAATCCCTCTTGAGGAAATTGTTACAAATACTCTTCTCAGATAATTCAGTTTAACAGTCTCATGAATACACAACATTGGAACAATGTTTGAGTTTTTGGTTTTGTGAATAGACTGAAAACGCTTCACTTTCTAGTTTTGGTTTTGAGCACCATAAGCTCGAGCTCGACTAGTCTCGTTTACACCACAAGACTAGAGTACCCCAAAAGCTTCACTTTCCAGTGCACATTATGTGAAAACTTTGATTTACCTAGCCAATAATGTCATTGGGTTTTGTATCGTTAGATCAATACGATACAATGGTGAAAAAACGAGCGAATTTGTCACATTGTGGATGACCCACAAAATATGTTTTGGTCTAACATGGACCAAATGGGGGGACTTTTAAAATCTTCAGCGGCTGTGTTCATCCTTCCATGAGTTGGCATGTGAAATTATTGAACAGGAATCTAATAATGAAGTTTAAAAAAAAAAAAAGGCCTTTTCTTTTGTTATTCTTTTTTCATTTCAATAGTGTATAAAGAAAGCAATTCTAAAAGAACTATTACCTTTATAATATATAGTACACATAGTGCCCTTTTGGGATTGTGAAATTTTCATTCACAGGTTCCAAGCAGAAAACTTAGTATGGAGTTGTTAGTCCACAGTCCTTGTTGCTCTTGTTTTTGCTTCATGAAGCTAAGTAAAGGCAAACCCAAGAAAAAAGAAGCCAAGTGAGAGTGAAGCTCAATCTGCAGATAACAAATCCCACATTTTTTCGCAGGTTGTTTTATTCGTCGTAAAATCTTCGAGCTTCTTGTATTTACACAAAATGTACTTATTTAGTAATTGATAATAAAATTCATGTGATACTTGTTGATACGAGGTTTTTTTGTTTATGATAATCATCATGTCAAGGTTTTGGTTCTCCTTTCACTAGGTAGATTATCCAAAGATTGCTGAATAAGTTGATGTTCTTGAAGTTGCAATACAACAGTTAATCATGCTTAATTCCACTATATATATATATTTGGTGTTCGTTAATTAGAAAAATACTTTTATAAGATTTAAGAAATTGCTCCAATAACTTTTTTGGTCTAATTTCACACTTTTTATCGTAAATACATACTATTGTTATGAAATGGCATACTTTTGTTTACTAGTATGTGTGGCGCGCGGATCTATAAATTAGTTGATATCTTAGAAACGAATTCCGAACTTATAATTTATAATATATGAATGACGGCTAAAAGTTAGCTGATATATTGGAAGTGTTTGGCAAAATAACTTAATTAAAAAAAATAAACAAACTTTTTCAAAAGCTAAAATAATAAGCTTATGAGATAAGTTCCGTCTTTTTAAAAAAGTTCATTATATCAAACCAAACACAAAAAATATGTGTGCTTAATTGTTATGTCCGTCTAAAAGTAGTCTGACCCGAGCTAATATTGACATAGAAATTTACAAACCTTTCGAAAATTATAATAGCCTTAATTATAACAATTGGGGAGATGCTAATAAAACTTGGTCCTCTAACAATTGGGGAGATGTTATAACACAACTCAATTTAACACAAAAAATATGTGTGGTTAATTGTTATATCCGTCTAACAGTAGCCTAACTCGACGGAATGATTCCTTAATTGGACCGTATCAGGATTCCATATCAACAAGATCAGATTGAACAAGATGAACAAGATGAACAAGATGAAGAAGAAAAGAAAATACTGCGGCTCTTTGATTGAATGAAAAATAATGAATAGTGTTAGGGTTACAATATGGAGTAGGCTATTTATACTCCTACTTTACAATACTGAAGTTGCTAAAATACAATGACAACTTATGTTGAAGTAAAACACAACTTAAATACAAAAAGGGTAAAATAGGGAAAGCTATATATATTGTCACCCCCCCGCAAGCTGAAAATGGACATTATGGATATTGTGCAGATTCAGCTTGGACACTAGATGATGAAAGGCAGGGCCAGGTAGGGCTTTGGTTAGGATATCAGCAAGCTGTTCCTTTGTGGAGATGTATTCCAGTTGAATGACTTTATTAGCAACCTTCTCTCTGATGAAATGGCAATCGAGCTCAATGTGTTTTGTTCTTTCATGGAACACTGGGTTAGCAGCCATGGCCATTGCAGATTTACTGTCTATAAACACAATAGCAGGCTGAGTGTGAGCAAGCTTAAAGTCAGCAAAGAGATATAATAACCATTGCAATTCACAGCAAGTAGAAGCTAAAGCCCTATATTCAGCTTCAGCTGAACTTCTACTTACAGTGACTTGCTTTTTAGATTTCCAAGATATTAAAGATTGACCAAGAAAGACAGAGTAACCTGTAATGCTTTTTCTACTATCCAAACAACTAGCCCAATCACTATCACTGTAGGCAAGTAAATTCAGAGAGGAGCATCTAGGAAAGAGTATACCTTGCCCTGCTGTGCCTTTGATGTACCTCAGAATTCTATGTGCAGCAGTTAAATGAACAGTAGTTGGTTTGCTTAAAAACTGACTCAAACATTGAACACTATAAGCAATATCAGGTCTTGTGATAGTTAAATATAGAAGTCTACCAATTAATCTTCTATATTCAGAAGCATCAGTTAAAGAGTCAGAAGTTGTGTGTGCTGTGAACTTACAGTTGGAATCCATAGGTGTTGAAGCTGGTTTGCTCCCCAGAAAACCTGTATCAGTGAGTATGTCCAAGGCATACTTTCTTTGGCACATATTTATGCCTTTATCAGAGTGAGCAAACTCTATGCCAAGAATATATTTCAAAACTCCAAGATCTTTAATAGTGAAACAGTTATCAAGATGAGTTTTGATTTTGGAAATTAAGGACAGGTCATTGCCACAGAGTATAACATCATCTACATAAATCAGTAAAGCAATGAAACTGGATTCAATGGACATAGTAAATAGAGAACAATCTGCTACTGATTGAGTGAAACCAAAATCAATGAGGCAAGATGTGAGTTTCTGAAACCATTGCCTTGAGGCTTGTTTCAAGCCATATAGGCTTTTAGTTAATTTGCAAACTCTTTGATCATTCTTATCTAAATAACCAGGGGGAGGGGACATATACACTTCTTCATTTAAATCACCATGTAAAAATGCATTGTTGACATCTAATTGATGTATATGCCAGTTTTTAATTGATGCCAAAGCAATAAGAAATCTGACAGTGGTGATCTTTGCTACTGGTGAAAAAGTGTCAAAGTAATCTATGCCCTCCTCTTGAGTGTAGCCCTTAGCTACTAATCTAGCCTTATATCTCTCTAAGGTTCCATCAGACTTAAATTTGACTTTGTAAACCCACTTACAACCTATACAGTGTTTGCCTTTAGGTAGGGTAGTGAGTTCCCAAGTCTTAGTCTGTTCTAGAGCCTTTATTTCTTTAGTCATTGCTTCCTGCCATAAGGGGTTTTTAGATGCCTGAGAATAAGTCTTAGGCTCTGTATGTTGGGATATAGCAGCAGTGAAACACAGATGACTATTAGAGAGATTTTCAGTAGACAAATGCTCAGAAATGGGGTATTGAGATGTTCCAGAATTGCATTGAAGAAGATTTGAAGAAGTTGTATTGGTTGTAGGTAAGGTATGTTTATAAACACTGAGATAAGCAGGGGTTTTCTTTGGTCTGGTGGATTTTCTCAATGGAATAGTAGGTGTGGTAGATGCTGTATCATTTTGGGATGGTGATAGTGATGAACCAGGCTGTTGTGGAGCAGATATTGTTGGTTGAGGTTGTAGTGGAGGTGTTGATGTGTTTGCAGCAGGTGAATGAATGGTTTCAGTAGGGGTAAATGGTGTAGATGTATCATGTATGAACTGAGATGGGGGTGGAAAGAGAGTAGAGGATTGAGGATCAATGTGATTTTTGAAGGGAAATACTTCTTCATAAAATATAACATTTCTGGAAATCATTGTGTGCTTGGTTTCCAGGTTGTAAACTCTATATCCTTTACAACCAAGAGGATAGCCAAGCAAAATGCATTTGGATGCTCTAGGTTGGAATTTATGTCTATGAGATTGTAATGTGGATGCATAACAAAGGCAACCTATGACTTTAAGATGATCATATGTTGGCTGTTTATGAAATAAAATTTCAAATGGAGATTTATTGCCCAAAACAGAAGATGGTGCCCTATTAATGATGTGTGCTGCAGCCAGAATGCAATCTATCCAAAAATGAAGTGGTAATGAAGCATGAAATAGAAGAGCTCTAGCTACTTGAAGGAGATGCTGATGCTTTCTTTCTACTCTACCATTTTGTTGTGGAGTTTCTACACAACTAGTTTGGTGTATAATGCCATGAAGAGAGTAGAAATCATGCAATAGAAATTCAGTGCCATTATCAGATCTTAAAATTTTGATTTTGCTGTTGAACTGGTTAGACACCATATTGTAAAAATGAGTGATGAATTTCTTGGTGTCAGATTTATGAACAAGTGGGTATATCCAGGTTACTCTACTATAATCATCAACTATAGTAAGGAAATATTTGAAACCAGAATGAGAAGTGACAGAGAAGGGGCCCCACAAGTCACAATGTACAAGTTCAAAAGCAGTTTGAGAAGATGAATGACTTTCATAGAATGGCAGTTTCTTTTGTCTAGAAAAGTGACAAACATCACAAGGATTAGGTATAGACTTACTATGTTTGCATACAGGTAATGAATTCATTTTACTGAAAGACATATGACCAAGTCTGTAATGCCACAAAGTAGAGTCATCAGAAGCAAAGTTTGCATTGGTTACAGGGTTTGCATTGATTACAGGTAAAGACAGGGATACATGGTTAGCAGTAGAATCAGTAAGAAATGAGAAATGATAAAGGCCACCAATGAGTTTAGCAGAACCAATCATTTGATGAGTGACTTGGTCCTGTAGTAAGCATGAAGATGACACAAATTGTACAATGCAATTATTGGTAGTAACAAGTTTAGAGACAGATAGTAAATTGAAATGGAAATTTGGGACATATAATGCATTTTGCAGAAATATGTGATCAGACAGTTGAACATGCCCCATGTGAGTAGCAATAGTATGAGTACCATTTGGTAAGTTAACATTGATGTTCACAGGTTTGGGAGTATCAGTAAATAGAGAGAAATCACATAACATGTGGTCTGTAGCTCCAGTATCCAATATCCATGTATTATGAGACAGTTGTCTAGTAGCAGTGCAAGAGAATATAGGGGACATACCTTGTGCCTCAGGATAAGCAGTTGCAACCATTGGGGCC